GAGCAGGAGACCCTCAGCTCCCATAACAAGGATGGGGGGCAGCGGGGAGGGTCTCGTGGTCTCCATCTGACCTGCTTTCCTCGCAGCATCCAGCAGGCTGGGACGTGGGGACAGAGGACAGAGGAGCTGCTGGTGTGATGCCCGTGGGTCCCTGGGGGAGGGGGCTCCTTAAATCTTTTTAATGGGATTAAACCCTTTATTCAATGATTAAAAGAATGTTCCTAATGCCAAGGCAGACGCCTGAAGCTTGGTTTCGGCTGGAGAGGGACACAGACTAGGAAGACCTTGGCACATGGAAACGGGGACACAGGACAGAGTGAGTCCTGAGCCAAGCCTGGCTGGCTTCAGGATCTCACTGAGGCTGTGAGACCCAGAAAACAAAGGCCCAGAGCGCTGTCAACCCCCTCATGATTCCATGGGCCTCCCTTGGTCAAAATGAGAAGCAGCCTCACAACAGAGGCTCCCACCATGGTGCAAGAGGTCCTCTGGGGTCTTCAGATCCTGTTCCTTCATGGATTCCCCATTCCTGACTTTATTTTATCTTTGGATTCTCTTACCATGTAGTCAAGCCTTTGGCTTTTGTGGAGGCTAATATTTTTTTTTCTTGAATTTAGTTTTGAAACCAACAAAGATTGCACAGACAACACCCAAGGCAGAGTTTGACTGTGTGAGAGTAGGAAATCCAATTAAAAACATAAAACTGGGAAGAAAGGGGCCGCTGACGAGATGAGGAGTGACACTGAAGCACGAGTTCACTGAGGGGCAGCAGAAACGCTTGGTCTCCAGTGCCGCTCCGTCCCTCAGCTCCGGAGGAGGCCCCGCCTGGGCCGTGACGGGCATTCCTCTGCCCAGAGGCCCTGGGAGCCCGTCCTGACCCTCAGTGTCCACAGCGCTGGCAGTTTTCATCTTTGAAACAATTCCCTAAACAACCAAGCGTTCGAAGGATTCCGATGGCAGAAATGGGGATTGGGAAGAAACCATTCACTTGGTTTTGGGCCATCATTTTCCTCACTTCTGCACGTTAAAATATTTTGACTTTCAATCCATCAGCAGGGAATATGCATTCATGATATTTGCAGAACCTCTGAAATGTTTAATTAGGAAGAAAAATAGCTTTTCAAATTGGACGGAAAAGCATCAGAAAATTACAGAGGCTCTGTGCTTCACGCAGGCAGGATTTAATTACAGGCCTTTCCAAGGACCATGTCAACCTGGAAGAGTTTTCCTGGGAACGCCACTACGGTGTGACCCTGGGGAAACTGAGGGGAGGGGTGGTGGGATTTGACTTCTGAAGTGGCTGATGTTGCTATGAACGGCAGTCAGCTCTTAGCACCCTCCTACGTCCCACATCTACAACCACATCGGGTTCTTCTTAACCCCAGGACAGACTCACAACGTCGGGGTTCCCAAGAAATGTGTATTCACGGAATAAATGAATGAGGACCAGGCCCCTCCTCTCACAGGAGGTGCAAGCACAGGCTCTGAGTAAATGCTGTAGGTGCAGCCGCGGGACGCTCTGCTTCTCACCCCACACGTGTGTCCCGAAGCCTCGGGGTGTAACTGCCGGGCTGACTGCAGGCAGTGGAATGAGAGATGTGGGGGATCCAGCCTGGATGTCGGAGCCCCGTCCCAACTACCAAGACTCTCCTGGTCACTGGGGCCTGTCTCCCTGCCCCTGGGACGGTCTGACCATGTCCAGCAGGGACACCCAGGAGGCAGGCGAGATGAGACAGGGTCGCCCCGGAGCCAGTCTTGCAGCCCAGGTCGTCACGCAGCGGGGGCAGTCCCAGCTCCCAGTCAGCATTTGGGGTCCTTGGAACAGGGCCTGGGAACTCTCCTTTCTACAGAAACAGTCCTGAAACTGGGGTTGAATGCCCTACTATTTAAAGTCTTACTCTTAGAAAGCTGACGGGATGGTCTCCTGGTTTGGACACATTAAATAGCTAAACAGCAATTTGGGACTAGTTTGGAACCTAGAATCGCTCATATCTTCCCATGAAAATGTTCTGAATCCAGATTCGACCTGGACAGGTCGCTGCTGTGGGCTGTGTGCTGGGTTATCAGCAACCACGTGAGGCAGCAGCATTACCCCTTTCTCCAGAAGGGACGACTAATGCTGGAGGAAGGTAACAGCTGCAGAGCCACAGGTCCCAGGGCTCAGAGACTCCGCCCACCTCGTGTTTACCGCCCACAGGAGACTCACGGAGGACTGACATCTCCACCTCTTCAGTTGGGACTGGCTGGGCCTTACTCCTGGGACCCAGTAAATTCAGGAGCAATAAATGCACAAGGCATCAGGTGCCGAGCTCCGTCCCGGCCCGTGGGACAGCCCTGCGTAACGTGCGGAACACGGCGCCGCTGCTCTGCAACTTGAGCGGTGAGACGGCCGTGAGGAGAACGTGGTGTGCTGGGAAGTCAGGAGAGCCAGAGCCTCCAGACGGGCCGTGAAGAAGGACGGAGAGTGGGCAAGGAGGGGAGGCATCTCCAGGACGTTCAAACCCCCTCACGTGTCAGTGACGTCCCAGGAGCTATTCTCCTGGGCCTGCATTTCTCTGGCTGGAACGCCTGGCAGAGGGTGGTCACCATACCTTTGTGCCTTTGGGACGTGTGGGGTGGAGTTTAGCAGCACAAATTCCCGTGCCGCTCCTAGAATCGCCGAGTCCAGATGCACACAGGCCCCGAAGCGGCTCTCGCACTGGCCTGAGAGAATGCAGGCGGCACCCAAGGCCTTCGCTTGTCACAAAGGTGACGAGCGCTGAGGGAATGTTAAATACATTTGACACAGAAAAGCTAATTTCAGTGATTATGTGCAACAGAAAACAGCAGAGAGCAGAGCGAAGGCAGGCTCAGATCCAACGACAGTGAGTGAGCCTCTCCCTCACTCACATCACCTAGGCTTAAAAAGAAGCTCCCATCCTAAAAGTCTGGTGTAGATGCCACGTCATCACTGCGACTTTGCCCAGCAGAACTGAAAGTCTGATGAGGGTAGCCTGACACGCTCTCATCTCCCTGGAGCTGAGGGTCTGATTATATGTTCCCAAGAGAAGGACCAGAACCGAGTCAATCGCACCTTCCTCGAGGGGCTCTGGATGCCTGGTGTGTGCTGTGTGCCTGGAGCCAGGCCCTGACACTCAGCCTGGTTTTCTCCTGACCGCGTAGAAGGGTCGTTGTGGTGGTGTCTCCGTATTGACTAGGAAGGGTCAGCACAGCCCCCTGGCCTGGCCACCCGCCCAGGTGGGTCCCACACCCATTGCTGCTGCTTCAACCCACGCAGGGAGAGCTGGGGCCAGGGAGCTGCCCATCTAGTGGAAGGAGTCAAAGGGCTCAGCCACGCTCTCTGCGTGCGAGCTGGGCCTCTGACCACTCACGTCATTTCTCTAAACCTCAGTTTCTCCATCCGTCAAGTGAGTTGTCATCAGGACAAATGAGATAAGGGGTGGGTGGGGGAAACGGGGGGATGTTGGCCAAAGAGCACAAACTTCCAGTGATAAGTTCTGTGTCTCACCAAAAAAAAAAGTAAATATGTGAGGTGATGGTTAGTCAACTTGATTGAGGGACTCATTTCACAATGTATATATACAGAAACGTCACACTGTACGCCTTAAAGACATACAATGTCTATCTGTCAATCACACCTCAATTGAAAGACCACAGGAGATGATACCGGTCATTGATCCGCCTCAGGCCCACCAGCAACGTCAGCCACACCACCATCGCCCTCACTGACTACTGGCCAGGGGCCAGGAGACTTCTCTTCCAATTAGTGGGATAGTGGCTAGAATATAAGGTACTTGCTTTTCTAGGGTTTAATAATTTGGTGGGAAAAGAATTGGCCTTAAATTGTAAATCTTGGTGAGGAGAACAAAGAAAGCTCCTCTATAAAAAGGAGCCCGAGGAGACATGTTAATGGCCTGGGAAAAGTGATCTGATAGCAACGTCACCAACAATTTCCTTGGGTGTCAGGATGGCGGGGGCCCGGGGTGCCGGGAGCCAAACCAACGTGCGTGTGGGGCAGTGACCCAAGGGGAGGTGAGCGGGGAGTGGGGTGTCAGCAGCACAGAACAGAGTTTTCCCCCAGTATTTTGTGGGTAGAAGCATATTTATTTGTGCGTGGCTAGATATTCCCTAATGCTGTTTAAAGGGCCTCAAGCGTATCATTCCACACCCGGGTGTTTGCAGGAGATGTACCCCAGCTTCGGGTTTATGAGGCACTCACCATCCACACAGCACTACGGGGTAAATAAACGTCGCCCAAGGGGAGGACAGTGATCTGGTTTTCTGGTGTAAACAAAATAAAACCACTATCGTACGACATTGCAGGTGAGTGTGCAGGAAAGAACAGGACCCAGTGCTGGGGCTGCGGGAGTTTGCAGATAGGCCTCCGAGCAGAGCTGACGTCGACACATCGTGTAAACGATCACGTCCCTGGAGAAAGGGCTCACCTCGAACACACCTCCTAAACCACACTGGCCAACCGTGCAGCCCGGAGAGGGCTGCCTGCCACAGGCAGAGTCCCCAGCACAGCCTCAGAGAAATCACCAGCAGCCAGCCTGCTCCCAGCACAGCCGGGCGGGGACAGGCTCAATCTCTGAGTTTGCAAAGATGCTCCGACTTTGGTTCCACCTCCCGCTGCCAGCTCAGGGCTAAGAAAACTCCTGCTAGGCTTCTCGACAGCTCACATCACGGCAAAACCTTAAACGGGACCACGAAACCCCAGTGGCAGAAAGGATGCTCACTAAGCTCGTTTCAGGCAGGTGGAGCCCACTCTCGGTGTCACCTTCCAGACGCACCCACAGCAGGTGGAGAGAAGCAGCCTTTCTCACCTCCAAGATCAAGGAACCATCAGATAACCCAATGCCTGCAGCAGAACTCAAACAGGACCTGGCTGGCTTGGGCCAGCAGAGGAAAGATCTAAGTCGTAAGGCAGCGAATGGATGCCGCTCAGCGAGCACCGTTGGAAAATGGAGAGGAGGCGTGAGAACCAGGCTGGAAGCCCTTACCTTGCTCTCGTCCTCGGGGTCGTTATAGCCGCACGCGTCTATGAAATCAGGAAACATCTCCGACCATCCATCACTCGTGCAGTTTTTGCTTATGTTTCCTGGAAGACAAAGTTCAGATGTCTGACCTAAGTCCATGAAAGTGGCCTTAGTGCGAAGGCTTAGTCAGTGCTTGCCCCTGTGGGTCCTGAAATGCCCCCTCGGGGTCAGCGGGGAGCCCGAGTCTGCACCCAGCTCAGCCAGGTCACGGGTGTGCATTCACCCCTCTCAGCCGCCTCATCCAGGAAACCCAGGCGGTGACCCACCTTGGGCCTTGTGGAGCCTTGGGGGCCCAAGGGAGAGCATCTGTGCCATGAAGCACAGGCGCCACGAGGACGGCAGTTATGGTGGAACTGCTGTCACGGCGAGCATTATTATTATGGAGCAGAATGAAAATTAGCAGACCCTCACGTTCTGTCGAGTGAGAGATGTGTGCGGCCAGATCCTGATCATTCTGGAGCAGCCGTCCTGCTCTACCCTGCTCTAGCCCAGCTCCTGACAGCATCCTCCCCATTGCCAGGGCCAGCCCCTCACTCCTCTGCCCCATGGCACAGTGACCAGAGCACACAGGGCAGGCTCCACTGGGTCACTGATGTTGGAGGAAAAGATTGTGGTTGTAAGATTTAAATCTCATGAAATAAGGGCAATTTTGACCTTATAGTCCCGTTGTTTGCTCCTAACTAATCTGAACTTGTATATTAAGCTCAGGAAGGCAATGTTCCCTCCACTTAGGAAGAGTGTCTAGTGGACGACCACACAAAGTGAGGGGACCGTCTCCACGGGTGCTGAGGGTGATGGACAAAATGAGGCAGCACTGGTGGCCTGTGTCACGTCTGGGGCCTGCTGGGTGGCTCTGGGAGGCTCAGACCCGGGAAGGCGTTTCCTGCCATTGGCACTGTGGGTCTCCGTGAGCGGACGCGCTCCCTCCAGCTTCCGCGATTTCTGGGGCCAGAGCCTTCGGATTTAGCAGCAGTTTCACTCACATGATCTCTTTATTTTGAGGGCAACTTTGAGGCAGACTTGGTAGGCATTACTGTTCCCACTTTACAGACAGGAAGAGGAGGCTCTGAGGGTTCCGGGACATGCCCAAGGTCCTGTAACAACTGAGTGGCAGAGAGAGTTTTTCTGACTCAAAAATCTTATTTCCTCAACACCAAGGCAGCCTGCCTGTCACTTGCTTTCACTGATTAATCACAGGACATCAAGAGGAGAGTGCATTCACGTTGAGGTGGAAATGGCATAAGCAATTCTGGGTGCTCTGCATGCAGACAGGCGGGAGAGCCTGGACCCTGGTCCCCGGGAAAGGAAGTGGGTGGGGAGGCATCAGCAAAGCCCCCGGTAACATCACCTGGGCCAGCCCTGCCCGTCACTCTCCACACCATCACCCGCCGGTTTCTCTGATTCCAGGCCTGAAACCTCCTGCTCCAGGTCCCAGAGGGAGCCCCAGGGGGTGGGGGCAGCTTGGGCCCAGGGACAGTGAGGCTCCCGAGAGATCTGGCCCCAGGACCCCATTTTACAGAGAGGGAGCCTGAGGCCCACGGGAGACAACGCTCTGCCCGTCAGGGTCAGGAACAGCAGCAGTGTACCACGCACCAAGCTCCTCCTGGGTGCCAGGCTGGGTGCCAGGACTCCGTGTGTGTATCAACTCATTTAATCCTGACAGCCACACGAGGAGGCCCTTTGATGACCCCATCGTTTAGATGAGAAACCTGAGGCTTAAAGGAGTTGGACTCCTCGGCCAAAGTCACACAGCTAATAAGTGAAAGGCCCCACTTCAATCCCGCATAGTGACCTCCTCATCCGCACAGCACGCCTGCTGCCCAGTCTGCACTGGCCCAACTCCCGGGACCTCACCCTGAGCTCTGTGGACGGGGCCATGAGCAGACGCTGAGCTGGCCATTCCTCACTTCCTACAGGCAAATGCTAATCTAAAGAGGACACATAATTGAACTTCATCCTATAAAGTCAAGACTCCCCCCACAGCGCCTGGCTTCACACTCCTCAGAGACACCTGAAGGCAGAGGTGGAAGGTGAGCATCCAGGAAATGCCTTAGGTGGCAATGTGCAGAGGGGGCCAGGGAGGTGAGAGAGGACAGAAAGTGAGAGAGAGGACGGGGAGGTGAGAGAGGATGGGGAGGTGAGAGAGAG